TGTTCTCGTGTTCCATAATGTATAATTCCCTTTCATATTTGCTATCACTGTATTCTTACAGTATCATTGTGTGTGTTTCTGCTATACAGATTTGCTGCTTGTAATGTAGATAAATGATTCCCATATATATTTAAGTAAAACTGGGGGAGAAGGAAGGAAAAAAAACCCAACTTTATTTTAGTTTAAACAAACTGAGTAACTAAACAGTGAGACCAAAACTGAGCACTGGTAAGGGATTTTTCTGTCTGTGAATTAAAATATATATTTATTTTTTCTTTAGATGACATTTATGGAGTAGTTTCTAGTCATACCTCTGAATCAAATGAAAATCCAGAACAATTTCAAGAAAAGGTATTTTTTATTTATACAATATTTATAGTGGACAAAATTAATATTAATAATGTAGATAACTTATATTTGCTTTGGTGACCTCCTAAGGAGTCCTATAAATGTGTTCAATTTGTTTGTGTCAGACTATCCATAAGGCATTAAGATGAGTTTGTATATACAACTCTTTAGAACTGGGATATCATCTGTAATACACTATGTCTATAAGCTTTAAAATTCAAAATAAATTCTCTGTATCAGTACTTGAGATACTGAGCACAAAAATCAACAAAATTAAATAAAAGTGAATAATCCTTTATTGCTAATTATTTGCAGAATAGTATGATAACACTTTTAAACTTCTCTAATCTTATTTTTTTATGATCAGGAACATGTGCTACTATTAATCTTGCTCCTAATGTATTCCATAATTTTATAAAAAATGTAGACATGGTAATGTCTGTGCCTTTCAAAGGCAAATCAAGAGTTATGAACATGAGTTCTATATTTTCATAGGATTTGACTGAATAACTCGCTGAAGTTCTTAGAAAAACACAAAACTGAATTTAACCACTTTTAATTTGTCGTCTGGCTTTTATTACTGAGCACTCTTGCAAACATGATTTTATTTTTTTCAGAAGACTATTGTTTAGGACAGCACAATTACTTCATGTGACTTCAACTGCATTACAAATATTAATATATACCCCAAGCATGTGATGAATGAATGATAAATGAGCAGGAATAGATTACTTGCCAGTAAAGAACAATGAAACAAATATAGCAATCTTTGTGCCCACAGTATTGTTTTAAAATAGACTTCTTAAACATTTATTCTTTTACTAGTTCTTCCTCTGTGTGCATAACAGTATTAATATGTAAATATTGTGCTTGGTTCCACAGAAAGTAAAATAAATCCCAAATGCAAAATATTCATTTTTCCAAGTGAAGATGTAAAATATATTTTAAAAAGCACATAGAAATATTATGCATTTTGGGAAATACTGCAAAATTTATTACTCCAGAAAACAATATTTTGACTGACATGTTTGCATTAATTAGTATGTAAGGATTCCAGTCAGTAATAAGTTTCATATTGTCATATGATAAAGTGTTTATCCATGTTCTGAAAGATTTTTCTGATGTTCTGCTTTTAAATTTTGTTTCTTGGTTTTTTTATAACAATATTAAACTCTATTAGATACTGCTTGAAATTGAAAATGAAGTCTTGCAGATTACTACAACACCTAGTTATAGTCAATCCACCAATGATGAACTGGTCACTGATGACCACTTGCTTACAGGTAAGCAAACATATTAGTCATTTGGCTGAGTTGATCTTTAGCATGATATCACCATTTCCTACTTTTCTGTACATAAGTATTGTAATTTTCTTAATTCTTTTTATTGTAAAATTCTTTTAAAGGAATTGCACATAATATTATACATCAGGGTTGGTACTTGGTGAATTAGATGTGAGTAAACACCTGAACCTCATTTCAGGATGACAAAATCATCATAGGAATTTGTATCAAAAAGTACCCCCAAAAAAACTATTTAAATAATTATAATAGAAATTGTAAACCAGATTGGAGGCACTGAGCAGATTCTGCTTTGACTATAGCTTCCTTTTTTTTTTTTTTTGGAAGTCGCACTGGCTGGAAATGTTTCCTTTGCCTTGGCCTTAGGATAAGTTGAGCTGGAGTGCATGAGTTGTAAAAGCCCTTCTAATAGCCACAGAAGACAGCCTGTGAAATCTTGCAATATACATTGTTAGAATATGCATAATAGTTGCAGAGTCAGTAAGTGTGCAAAATAATAATAAAACAGCTGTGATGCAAAGGACTCATGCTGTAGTTCTGATTTCCTTGGGGCTATATATTACTGGCTGTATCAGCACAGCATCCTTTCCTTGTCAAATACTGTAAGACTGTTTAATGTCTCGCAGTGCTTATTAGAAATTTAAATAAAAGATTTGCTTGTTTGGTTACAAATTTATAGCTGATCTTGAAATGAGCATAAGCCCTACTCATCATGAAGTAGAAGAAAAGTGTAGACAGGAACTTGAGCTTGAAGATAAGAAGAGGAAAAAGTGGAAGGCTGAGAGAGAATTACGGGAAAAACAGAATGAAGAAGAACATGCAAGAAGGGTGCAGCACCTGGAGCAATTTGAGGCTGAAAGAGTAAAGTTAGACCTTCTTCATAAGGTATTTAATGATATTGAAACCAATCCGTTCCCATCTAGACTATCTGAATTCAAGATCTAATTTGAAAAAGAGAGTACCGTCCCAAACTGTATGACTGCTCTAAGCTCTGTCTACTTATGTGATTTGTGAGACATATACATATTTAAGTATAATCCTTTGGGCTCTATGTGTTTACTGCTTTGATCAACAGCAAGTGAATTTGCTGTGCCAAACATGAAATTATTCTTGAAACTTTGCCCTTACAAAGTTTTTATATTATGGCAATAGCCAAAGTACGGGGAATAAGAGATGAGCTGAAATAATCACAAATGAAAAATGGTCACTGTGCCTTAATAGAATATACTTACCTGCTTTGGACCTCCCAGCCCTGTTTTACATTTAGATGTATAAACTTAAGTGAAGTAATTGGAATCAAAATCATTCAGTTCAGAAATGCTGATGCTGTGCTTCATCTAGGTAAAAGGTACAATATTTCCTTTTCTTGTCTTTACCTGGGAAATTGACTCAGGCTTTATCTACTGAGTTCTGCCACAACAGAACAATGACTCCACATGTTGACTGGTTGCATTCTCAGAGTATCTAGTCATGTTTTGCTATAGCTTGTGGTGCATACTGAAAGATAAAATTTGATAGCTCTCCACAAAAGAGTATAAGAATATGAAGAAATGTAACTCAGATATTATGCTTGTGAGACCACCATATTTTATTATTTAGCCTAAATAATTGTGTTTTGAGAGGTGTATTAACATCACATTTTCAGGTGATTAATTTGTGACTTTGTGCAAAAGTGGGCATCTTGGTCCTGGCAAGGTAATTCAAGTCACCAAAATTAGGGAAGGGCTTAGTAAGTGAAAAGACCTTTGATCTCTGAAAACCAGTTCAACATCTGCTATAGCTCTCATTTCAACAGGCCACAAAATTGATCGGCCTCCTTGGCTCTTTGATGTCACAAGTCATTTTTGGGTGTAGAATGGCTTTCTTTGTCTAGACCAAGTGGGGCATGGCTGCCTTTAGACACTTCAGTATTGATGTCGCTAGAGCACTCTTTTTGGAGGTGACAGATAGAGACTATCTTCCCCTGTTACAGAAGGATCTAGATGTCTACTGTTGTTTGAACAGCATGCTTCTGAATATCTATCAAAACCAGCTCTTAGAAACCTGTGAGACTTTATGCTCCAAGTTGGAAGTGCTAGTTTGTTTATATTTTCTTCATATCCTTCTCTATATTTGATTCGGCTGATACTGATATATCTTGTTTCCACCAGGAGTTGTGTGGTTCTAGATCAGCCTCAGTTTTTTAGCTACTTACTGTCTGCTAACTTTCAGGCAGATGTAATTCTAGATAGTGTGGATTTCTTTTTTCTGATTGAGACGATCTTGGGCAAAGAGGAAAATGCTATTTGTTTGCAAATGGTGAGAAAGTAGACTTGAACTTTTAGTTTTCCACTGAGAAGTAATTTCGGTGAAAAAAATTTCTTTAGCCTCACTGAACAAAATTGCCATTCTAAAGATTTTGGTATTATCAGTACATACCAGTACAATTAAAGAGACACTGTTCATGCTACTGTTCAGATATGTTTCTGTTATCTGCCTGTAGTTTGAATGGTTTTGTAAGTGTAGTTTTCATCTTCAATAATAGCACAGAGTTTTGAGAGGAAGGTGGCAGTTGTTTGGGCCAGTACCAAGATGCTGCCTCTCTGAAGGTATGCATCTCTCAGTACATGTCCAAATCTGTGTTACTGATGCAAGTGTTCTGTTGTTTAGTTTGATCCACACGCAGCTGAGTTTCTCTGTAAAATTTAGGCAGTCATAGAAGTGGACTGTTGGAAAGTCAAGAAATGGGTGAGATTGGAGAGAGGATGTTTTGTGTTGTTCCAGGTTTTGTACAATATTCATTTGCGTTAATTTATTGTGCAGAAACGCCAAGCTGCAATAGAAGATGAGCTACAGAAAGAAAAAAAAGCGTGGAAAGACAAAATGATGCAACATGAGGTAAAGTTACAATGAGCTTTTGTCAAAAGACTGAGATTACTGTCACATATTTGAGAATGTTATCCTGGAACAGTTAATATACCAGATCCTGTTTATTAATGATAAATATGTACCAACACTTGTACCATTTTAAAAGTGGTTTAAGAGTCTATCTTAATTGTTTTGGCCTAGGAATTGATCATGAAGCTACAGATGCAAATGAAAGAGGAGAAAAAGGCCTTGGAAGAGCAAAAAGCAAAAGAGAGACAACAACTGGCTGAAAAACAGAATATGGCTGCTGTGAAAATTCAAGCTAGATTTAGATCATTTTTAGTCCATAAAAAATATGCTCCCATTTTAAAAGAATGGAAATATGAAATGAGAAAGAAGAAGAAAATGCTAGAAGAAATAGAGAGAGAAAGGAAAGAAAGAGAGGAAAAACTGAAGAGGCGAATGGAGGAAAATAGGCTTAAGAGAGAAGAGGGAAGAAAGAGACAAGAAGAACTTGAAAGACAAGAATATTTGGAACGGGTGAAGAGGCATGAGGAATATGAAAAAAAGAAAGAAAGCCTGAGACTGGAAAGAGAAAAACAACTGCAAGTAAAAAGAGAAGAACAGACAAAACTAGAACAAAAAAAAGTAAAAGCTATGATGAGTGAAAGTGGAGAAAATAACAAAGAAAACATAAAAAATGATAATCACACAGAAAATACAAAAGTAATAAGAGAACAAAAGAAGGAACTAAATAAACAAGGGGAGGAACAAAAAGAAAAACATACTGAAATGATGGACGGAACAAATAATTGGATGATGTCAGTAGAAAGAAATTTGACACCAACAGCAAGTATACTAGACTCTGAGAAGGAACATTCTTCTCAAGTAAATAATGAGAATATATATATGAATTCAGTAACACAAATAGAAGAAAATTGCTCACAAACTAGCTATCTTAATGAAGCTCCAAATACTCATACTTCAAAGGAGGAGTCTCTTAACTTTGGAGCTAATGATGTGGTAGAAAATAAGGCAATATGCAGCAGTCCACCAGATGTCCAACCAAATGCTAGTCATAGAGAAGTTGAAGATCAATTTTCTCAGTATGAAACAACAAAGAAAACTGTGTGTCTAGTGGAAAATGCTAATGAGGAAGTCAGAGACACCTGGGACAGAATTCAAGGTGTAGCAGAGTCTTCCAGTAAACTAATTTTTCCTGATGATATTGAAAAGAAGAGAATAAACTGGATGACCATATGTAAATCTTGGTCTAAAATATATGAAGAAAACCAAAGAAAGCAAGTAACTGTTAAAAAACGACCAAGGAAAAGTTCAGTTAGCAAGATGCCTCCGTTAAGTGCAGAAAAGATAATTCATAGTGGCCCATGGAGTACCTTGCAGCAGGTAACTATATGGAAAATTTAGAATGAAATGGAAGGCTATGCTATCTTTTTTTTTTTTTATTTATTTAATTTAGTATGTCAGCAGAATGCTTTTTGGAAGAGAGGGAGGTAATTGTTGATCAGTATGTAGATCATGTGAGACTTCCTTTGCCCAAGTGCAGAATAAGGGCAATGACAACGACTGTTGAATTCCTGTGAGTGTCACAGAGCAGACTGGTGTGGTATGAGTCTTCAGATAATTGATAGTGTCTTAAGCCTGTAAAAGGCAAGAGCTCCTATTGTCTGCTAAATTAACAAGGTTTCACCTTTGTATCAAGGCCCACATTTCAGCTTCTACTCAACAATGCCCTTCAGATTTTTGAAAAGACTAGTCTCTTCTAGAAGCAAGATATTACTGATGAGCTTATAGGTGGTGTTTTGTCATAAAGAACATCTCCTATTTCACAGGACTTCTTTTTCTTACCACTTACCAACTTATCATTATATGCTTGCTCTGTGCTCTCATCTTGCTATCCACTCTGAGATGACATTCTTGACTATAAACATTGTTAATCTGAAGTATTTTTGTCTGTTCTTTTACACTCTTTATTTATGATACTGTGATAATTGTTTTCATACTAACTTCTCCCATTCAACAGATCAAACCCACCATTTTCATCGTTGTCTATACAAAGAGATTAACATCAGTTGCTTGCATTTTCTAAAGTGTTAGTAGATTGTAGTTTTGGTCTCTTTTTCAGCTTAATGAAAATGACCATAATGTGATGTTGTACAATGAATGTTTAATATACAAAAAATTAATTTTATTTATCAATAAATGCATGTAGGTTACAACACTTATGCTTGAAGATTTGCCAGCTTGTAGCCTCTCAACGTTATCTGAGTGTTCAAATCTTCAAGTTTTGACTCTGAGGCGCTGTGGACTAGTTTCACTGGAAGGACTAAGTAGCTGCAAAGACCTTAAGTATATCAATGTGGAGGTACCAAGGATATTTGATTCTTTATTGTAACATGGGGAGAACTGCCAGTTTTGCTGCTTAGTTGATTATATAGTTGTATCCAACTGAATATATTACTTTTAGTGCCTTAAGAGCATAGGAGTATCAACAAAATACTCCCAACTGTGAACAAACTTATACCAGCAGATTTACAGTGCATATAACAAAAAACTACATGCTGTAAATTAATTGACTGTACTAAGAAAATATCAGTCTAGGATTAGCAGTAGTATGGCACAGTGATAGATCTCCATTGCCTCAGTCTCTCTGATTCATGAGTGAGCAGATGCTGTTCACCATAGCAGGTGCTCAGATTGAGCACAAATAGGTAGCATGAAGAGTTCTTTGCAGTACACACCATGAATATTAATTAAAATTACTAACAAGGAACAGCAGAGTGAGTTACACTAGAGGCATAATGTCTAGGTTTTCACTACTGCACAGTGTTTTACACGGCCCTGTTTAATGACTAAAGAAAACTTTATCTCTGTGATGCACCTTCATTCCGAAACTTGAAAATTTACATGAAGAAGCTTTGTTCAAATTTTTAATTTCATGGGTTTTAACACCACCAATTCACAAGAAGAAAAGACCAGGAGTGAAATAGAAATTTGAGGTGGCATTACTAAAATGGCCTGGGGAGGGGGATGTTAAAAAAGCAAGATCTCTCGAGGGAAGAATATAAGCTTAGAACAGTGTTAATGTTTGTGACCAAAATACCTCTAAATGCAGACTTTCACTGTTAGTAAATAGAATTCCAGCAAAATTACAGTAGTCTTCATTAGTATCTAGTAAACATGATGGTTTCTTTGCAGTTTTTAGTTCAGTCTCCCAGGATTTGGGAAGCTAGGAAAGCATGTCTGGAAGACTATTCTGTCCTTAATTTTTTACACTTTTTGTTCCAAATTCTGGGCATTTTCAGAGCGAGAATGAAGTTCAAAATATATTTTTATCCTATTCCAGCAGGACAGAAAAGCCAGTTTCTGTGACTCATCATTTTGTTTTCCTAATGGAAAAAACAGATGCCCCTCCTCCTAGGTAGATGTTTAGGATAAAAATAAACAAAAATAAACAGTGATGGCAATCTGCCATATTTTTCTGCTATTTCACTTCAGATGCTTTTTAGTATGCTCATTTTGTTTTATTGCAGGAGAACAACATTCAGATAATTGACTGTGAAAATCTAGAAAATCTTTGTGTTCTCATTCTGAGTAAGAACCATCTTTCATCAGTTTGTGGCTTAGGTGGCTGCAAAAATCTCCAAAATCTGGAACTTTCCTACAATAGAATCACCCGATTTGGTAAGAAAATTATTCCAATTTGTATAACAATATTCATGCAGTTTATATTCAAAATTATATTCCCGTTAGATTCAGAGCCAATCAACTGCTAAGCCCAAGGAGACCGAGGAGACAGAATTAGAAAAAAACCTGCATTCTAAAGCATTCTTAACTTCATATTTATTTGTAGTATGGCTTAGATATTGCCATGTATTCCATCTACCAGGATGGCTATTGTCAGCCAAAGAGAATTAAAATTTTTCTAGAATGGCCACTAATATTATGTGCACTAACTCAGCTGGAATATGTGAGTAGCCCAAGTTTGGTTTATCTACAGACATAATGAATGTAAATCCCAGCCTTGCAACTGCAGAGAATTCCAGCATGTTCCTGATTGACACAGTAAGTAAGTAGTTATATAGTAATTGTGTTGTCTCTCTGAGTCTGCTGGACAGCAGGAAAATAATTTAAAACTATTATCAAGCTTATAGATGAAACACATTCACATAAGACATTTATATAAGGAAATAGTTTCCAACGTTTAAAAAAAAAAAAAAGACTGAAACAGTATGAACATGGATAATGCAATTCCATGATAAATGGCAAGGGCAAAGAAAATGGGAAATGGGAAAGCATAAAAATAAAAATAAATCTGTAGGTGTAGAGGCTTTAATGTTGATATTTTCAATACTTTTTGCTAATATGTGCAAATATTAATATTCATGAATATACCTAGGAATAAAAGTGCTGGGAAATCAATGTTTACTGTAAAAGCATATCAATACCCTAGTGAGAAACAGTAAAATAAAATGCTTAAAAATCTTCAACTGTATCCTTGTGGCAAATATTGCTTGATAAGATTCATATTCAGATTTATCTAATTTGATAAAAATATCTGCAAGAGTACTGTAAGAATGACGTAGTATTAGTGGATGACATTTAAGAATGTGGCATCTATGTGAAGTTTAGTATCTTTGTACAGGCCAAGTGGAGTAAAATCCTCTTGTACTTTCTCTTTTGTGCAGTGCACTGCTGCAGTTACCAAGTCTCTAACAAACTTAAATGATAAATGAATGTTCACAAAATAAAATCTGAGTTCCTCTCCGGAATTGCTTTGAGGATGTTTGGTTAAAACAGATGCATAATACAGGATTTATTTCACACAATAACATGTTGGTTGTGAGTCGTTGCATAGAATACACAAAAAATGGATTTATGTGATTTAAGAAGTTAGCATATCCCTTACATCTGTAAATCTTACAGGATGTCCCTTGGCAATTTTGGAAGCTGCAATACTATGCAGTAAGGCTTATTTATGTTTAAAATACTTAAGTTTTAATAACTTATTGTATAAAACTTCTAGCATAATATGATTTCTCCTTTTATTTTTTCCTCCTCTCATTGAAATATAGCATCAGTAGGGAAAAAAATAGAGTTGACAGAAACCCTTAAAAATATCACTGAGAGAAATAGTCTCAATTATGCTTTTTGACTTAACAATACATGATTGCAAATTAAGTAACTGTGGCAGTAATACACTGAAGTTCCATGCATATGTTTTTATTTGGAAGATGAATGCTTTATTTAAAAATTTTCTTCTGCAAAAAGTAGCATTTTGACTGGAATCATTGAATACGCTTCTGCGGGGTTTCTATATTGCCATAGCATGTTGACTAAAATCCTAGCAACTCAAAAAATAGCAATGCATAACCATGGATAGTCGTAAATGCTGCTTTAGATCTACTCTTTTAAAGACAGCACAAATAGGATTTTTTTGTTTTAAAAAATCGGACGCCTTTCTGTTTTAGTTTTGTTGTTTGAGGTTTATTATGGTTTTTTTTCATATTTACATTCACTGTCAGCTTTCACTCTTATCATTCACCTTTGTCACATATAGAAGTGACTTCAGAACTGCATAAGTAGCTAAGATAGAGCCCCTAGCCAACAGACTCCAGCTGCTCATATAAAGGTTCCACTCAAATTTTGCTGAAAACATATGTTTGTAAACAAAATGCTTTTCCCCTACACTACCATAGCTGTTGTTTGATTCATTATGTGTAAAACAGATAATATCTTATGGAAATAAGCAGAAGACCTTCATGCTTATATTTATTTTTGCATGTGGGCAGAAGAAACATTAAAATACCATCTGTTTGTATTATATTTTTCTCTCTTTATGTTTTTGTTGGACTGCTGGAATTTGATAATTCCAGAATGTATTTTGATCTTCTTGTATGTAGCTTTGGCATGTCTGTTCCAAATAACACTCAGATGAGGAGAAGGAGATGTAAAATAGGTGCTTTGTGCCCCATGCAGAATAGGAAATTTCCAGATCCTGTATTATCTCCTTGCCTTTTCATACTCTGTGTTCCCTCTCTTCTCTCCATCCCACTCCAGACTCATACAGTGCTTTTAAAAGTTTCTAGTACTGCAGTGGTAGTAACTGAAAAGTGGAGATTTAAGGATTGCTCTTAGGAGGAAGTCTTGGGAGCTGTTAACACACTCTGAAACGAAAGTGTTTTGAAACCGCTAGATGGTGCTGGTTGCTTTTTTTATTTTTATCCAAGCATAAAAGAAAAATACAGACCAGGATCTTGCAGTCAAGATGGTATGTCCTGGGCATGTCTGAAATTCTTTCAGAATATTTAAAGGGTTGTATATTTATTTCCTAAAGCAAAGTTTTGAAGTTACATTATGGAATATTTTTGTTATATTTAGGATGATATCACTTTAATATCAGACAATTGTATTTTTTTCAGTAGGTGCTTTCCATTTTTAAATTAAAATCACTCGAAGGCATATATTTGGGATTTTTAAAATGTACTACTAGTTTTAGTATTTAAGTTTTTACTTTAGTTTTCTTCCTATCATTTTTTTTTTTCATTTTGAATTCTTCTCTGTATTCAGTACTCTGTGGTAAAAACTAATCTCTGGTTTCATAATCCAGTTTGTTTTCAGAGAACAGTCACAAAGTAATTAACTGCCGTAAAGCTCACCCAGCTTCCTTGTGGGAACTTGGCTGGGAAGTTTTGGGTGAGATAAATGAGATAAACTATTCCCTCAGATAATCCTGTGAAGAATACATGAAAAAAAAGTAAAATCAGAAATTCCTAATTTTAGATACATTTTCTAAAGGGTGTCCCTTGAAAGCGGTTTTACTCCAGAGATACAGAAAAGCTGCTTGGACCTGTTGTAAGTCAGATACATCAGTGCCATTGCAGAACATCTGGCATGTGTAAGACCAGGGAAGGACAGTGTCATTTCTGCTGTTGGAGGAGAATGATTTGGGTAACATTCAGTGAAACAAACAGATGCTGATGGGAACCTTTTCCTTTGCTTTTTGGGTAGAGATCACATACATTCTTGCTCTTTAGACTAGCCAGCAGGAGTAAATTTGTTGAGTGTAATGGCTATAGTAATATAGCTTTATTCTTAAAAGCACTAAATTTTCTTTATAAATTTCTTCATTAAAAATATGACATAATTCCTTAAACAAGATGAACTTTAATAATCGAGCTGGTGATATTTTAACACAATTTTTTTCTAACCTTGCAGATACATTAAAAAAAAAAAAGCACCAAACTTTTAAAAAATGAAATAATGAAAATTAACTTTTAAATATAGTGTTTTCATTCTGGTGGATGGTTTCAAAAGGACTGTTAGTATTCACAGAGTTCAGAGCAGTCATAAAGTGGTTAAAGCACAGTAAATACCGCTTATCACTAAAAGAATGCTCTCATCCAACAGAAGTACTAAAGAGATTATGACCGGTTACTATTGACTGATTAACAGGATCAGAAATTTATGAACTGTCTGCATTGTATATTTGATAGGGTCAAAATACAGTAATTCTTTTTAAATGTTATGGAGAACTAATCTTAATTGTTACTACAGATAATATACAGAAAGTTCACAGTTTTTTTAGTACTTGGAATACAGCAAACAGGTTTTTATTTGATTGTGGCTTAAATCTTTAATTTTCAGGTGGTCTGGAGTCACTGAAAAATCTTCAGCAATTAACTGTGGACCATAATCAGTTAATCAGCACAAAAGGTCTTTGTGAGATACCTACTCTCATTTACCTAGACTGCTCTTTTAATCATCTCACACAAGTTGAAGACATTGAGAATTGTGGCCTACTTCAAGTTCTGAAGTTGCAAGGCAATAATCTCCAGGAGGTAAAAGCTTTGAATTTAGTGGCTATTGTACATACATCTTTGTTAACAGTTATATTTTTCAGCATTCTGATCATGTGCTCTTTGATTGGTGTGGGATGTTTCATGCTCTTTGGTAACCTTTTTTTTTTCCCTTCTTAGAGGGAAATTTTTCAGATATACAAATGGCTAGCAGTTAAGTATTTTCTTACTCCTAAGTCCTTGGAATAATCAACCCCTCAATAATTATGGCTAGTCCTTTGTTTATAGCGTCTAGTCTTCAGGTTTTTTTATATGAGTCTAGTTTTTGTTTAAAATGTAACAAAATATTATTATCTACTTATATGTAATGTTATAATAATAAGATAATTATATCAGGCTGATAATAGTAATTGTTATTACATGTAAGTAATCACTTTTTATCATTACTTATATGTAATGATAATAATATCATTATTATCAGCCCAATAATAATCAGGCTGATTGATGTATGTTGATTCCCCAAAACTTGATATTTGTGCTGCAGCATTAAAAATAGGAAAATTGTTTGCTAACTGTGCACTTAATCATATTTACTGACAATTATGCCCTTATGAATTTGAGAGAAGAAAACCATCGTTGATAGGCAGCAAATTAGCATGAATAAAACAGTAAGATTGTGACTCTTGAGCTCTTGACCTTTTTTTTTTTAAAAAAATAATTTATATGGACTATGCAAACTTGTTAGAAGACATTAAAAATACTTACCCTCTGATATGTAGAGATTATGTGTGACAACTGGTACATACATCTTAAGGAAAGGATACATTATATCCAGAATGTGAGTTTTGCTTGTATTTAGTAATGATTTATGAAAAGCATCTGGTAAGCATTTCATTGTTGTTTCTTTGATTTATATTAATTTTAAATAACCATCTCTTCTCTGTTTAGCTTCCAAGACTGGAAAATCATGTTCTGCTAAGAGAACTATATTTGGATGACAATAGCATTTCTGCTGTGAAAATGCTTTCTTTTTATTGGTTGCCTCTATTGCAGATTCTTTTTCTGTCTCAAAATAGGTAAGCAAGAAACCTCCTTCCACTTACAAAACTGATAGACAGGAATTTACTAACATAACACTTGTCTGAAAAGTATAATTCCCAGTGTGACTGAAATTTTACTATCTTAGAGATATTCTTTGAAAATACATGGTTAGCATGTAATTACTTTGGCTACCTCTAACTAAGAAAATTTGAAACAGCATTAACTATGAAATTATTTTTTTTCTTTTAGATGCTATGTGAAAATAATTTTTGAGCCCTGTGGTATTGTTAAAACCATGGTGGGTTTTTTTTCTTTAGCAATTGTTTCTAGAGTATGTCTGTCAAACTTCCTATTTCACAGCTAGCTTATTCAAAACAGACTTGGAAGGCTAAGTTAAGTGCAAGTACTAGAGTTAGAAAGGACAAATAAGAATGTTTTTTATTTTACATACATATGTTAATACCCTCAAAAACAAGTATTTTGTCTTTAATTTTTCACTCTTATGGTTCAGTTTGAAAGGTATAAAATAAAGAAGGATCAAGACAAGAGGCTTAAAACTACATCGTGCACTCAAGTGCATCTGTAATTAGCTCTCTGTTTGTTTTCTAAGCTAATCTGTACATCTCTAGAGTTAGAATGACCAGATATCCTAGAGTCAACATTTTTATTTTCCCCATCCCCTTTTCTCAATTTAAATTCTGCTACAAAAATAAGAAGCGTTTATTATAATTTACGATGCATTAGAAGGAAAATTACTTTTAAATTGATATCAATTATTTTTCTATACTGTGATCATTTTGCTTTGAACAAGATTTATCTCAGCTAAACAAATAGAATATACTGTGTTGCATGCCATATACAGAATATACACTTAATCACTATACTCTCCTGTTAGTGAGGAGGTTTTTAAAGGGTGATTCATCTGCCATTTTTAGTTGTTTGCTTTAAGACTAATCATACCCTACAAGTGCCTGTTCATCTTCATTGAGTGTTAACAGAGACAAAATGACCAGCTCGTATGTAGGTGTCTGCATCTGAACACATGAATCCTGTCCTATGAGACATTTAGTTCAGCAGGGTGAGTTGCATCTGGAAGCCTGTGGGAGAAAGACTGTCCTGTTCTTATAAGGAATGTCTTTCATGGAAAATTAATATTATTTAAGTATATACAGTGTACATTTTGTATAACTTTTCAAGTTGTTTTCATGTCATCTATTGTGAAGTACTCTTTATATAGACTGTCACAGGTAAATCAAGTACCTACAGAATCTAATCTTCAGGTTACTTCTTTTAGGGTTTGGGATTCTGTCTCAGTAATTCTTTTGGAGTTCAGAGAAGGTGTCTCCTGCCTGTAATTGACAAGAGAATTATTTGTTCCACATTAGATTTTGAATCATACACACTGGTTTAATTCATGTTCTTTTCTTCTTTTTTTTCCCCATTGTCGTGTTTAGGTTTTTTGTGGAACACACAATAATGTGGCTCTATATTCTTGTAGTTTCCTCCTCTTCCTCCTGTGAAACTATCCTATAATAAAGTGTTTGCAAAACTCCTTTAAGACCTCATGGACCTGCTAGGGACTTGTGAACATGGTCTCAGGCTTAGCTTGAATGCTCCCTCTCGATTTAGATTGTGCTGTATTGGCCATGTAGACGTGCCTTATGTCACTTTCCTATCCCATGTTCGTACAGTTTTTAATGTCCATTATAGTGCTTGCTCTGGTTTTCCAGTAGCCAAGCCAAGATGCAGTGTTTGGTCCACTGAGTTTCTTCTGCTGCACCAGGAGAAAGCACATATTTTTGCATCAACAGACTGGATGTGCTGAAAATAAACATACATCTCCTTCCCAAACAGTTCCTTTTCTTTTTTTGATGAATCTACACCTTATCTCAGATCTTTGTGACAAACAGGACAAGATAGCCTTAAATTCATATTAAAAGCCTCAAAATTCCTGGCATTTCAGTAGCCTGCTCTGGTACACTCACTTTATGTACACTTTTAAGCAGCTCCATATGTGTGTGCTGTAGCCTAAGTAACTTGATGTTCTATAGAAACAGTGAATGTAATGGAGTAAGTTGTTGAAATAAAAGCTGTTTCTTTTCTTTTATCCTACAGCTAGTGCAATTTTGTGAATTTTTTCCAAGTGTGCACTGAGTGCCATTTCCTTTTTACTGTTTGCAGGAAGCTATATAATGGTAATGCTGTGAATCTGTATCCTTTCTAAAAGGGAAGTACTGTGAAAAGAAAATTCTTACACTAGTTTACAGGACTTTTTTATTCCTGAGGTGCTTTGTCTGCATCATAAACCAGAAGTAGTCAAAGATAAAATTCCATATTTTAATTGTTTTAAACCTACAGTCTAACAAGGAAGTAGAGATTAACTCCTTCAAATATAAAAATGACTTCTATTTCACCACTGCTGCTTTTATTAAGTGTTTTCATGTGGCTTTCACATACAAAACATATTCTTGATCAATGTGCAATTGACCAAAGACAATGATGAATATCCTTTCGACATGGTTACTGCAGAACTGGGACTATGAAGATCCGTGCTCTATTTTATAGCAGGTGGAGAACACAACTGTTAAGTTAGTTTAAAAAAGGTGCATTTTCTTTATTCTTCTGCTGTGGATAAAGGTTTAGATGTAGGAGAGAAAAACTTGTGTCTGCGACTAAAATTAATGAATATTTAATATGTGTTAAGACTTCATGTGGCATTTATATTTGCGTGTAATCCACTTAATTATGTAGCTTACTTGTTAATGTCTTTTTCATTTAAAAGTTTTACAGTGAGACACTAAATCAATGTGCTGTTTAGGTAGGCATTTTTTTTTCAACTTGTACATAAACACAATCGCTCCTACTATTCTGTTTCAGTGTGGCATTAATATGACAAAGGTCTTTTTTTTGCTATCTCTTGCTTTTCATTAAAGTAACCTGAGATAGATAAAAATTCAATATTTAAAAAAATGCAGTCATCAGCAAAAGTTACTCTTTTCTTCGGAAAACTGGTTTGGTCAGAATCTTATTGACATATTGCTCCCATGATTTTGCAACTAGATGCATACTATTCCCAAAATGCTTATGTTAGAAATGCTAAAAAGTCAGTTCAGTACATTCTTAGTACATATTGTTCTCTCTAATTAAATATATATGGAATCTGTATTTTTAACGTAATTTCTCTGATCTAAGCAATGAGCTCACTGTGACTGATGTTTGGAGAATTTGACTACTTTTCCAGAGTCATCATCATAACTCTAAGTGTCGTTGGATGTCTAAATAAGTCAGTCTTGAAAAAGTTATACTTAATTATAGTGTTTTTTCCCATCCTATCCTTACCATTCTACATTTTTTAAATATTTTTCAGTAATTCTTTGCTGCTGATAAGTTTATCTCTGAGAATGTGGCATCATGGGTGATATAGTTGAAGTACTATCTACTAGAGTATTCAAGAAGCAAGGAGCTAACTGACAGATTTCCTAAATTCTGTATGATTGCTACTCATAAATATGGCAAATATTGCAACCTAAACTGTTTTTAATTTAAGGAATGAAAAAGAAATATGGACTTTACTTAAAAGTCTAGATTAAGATAAATTTATTTTAATTATTTTGCCCTCCTTCCTGCCAACTGCTTATTAACATTAAGATATTTTTTCTGGGGAAAAGCAGATGCACAGCAGGATTTAGACCATCTTGAGCAGTAACTGCTATTTCTGTTCAGAAAAGCAATCTTTATTTTCTCTGATGCATACTTGCAACTATTCTTAAATCTTGTTTTCTGGTGTAGAGTTTATGTAGTTTATGTGGCAATGACCTATTCTGCTAGAGCCTTAAATGGGAGCAGAAAGAGGAAGTTATAGCTTGCTTTTTTGTGAATATCTTTTACTTTTGTGTCTTCTTTGTAACTTATATCTCTTATGCCCAGGGCTAATGTGACAAGGTCAAGTAGTATTAAGTTTTCAGTAATGTCCTTTGTCTTTCTGGTTTGAATTTTCTTAGGAAAAAAATTAACAAAGAATGTCAGTAAGGAGAAAAGCTATAGAATGACAGAGAAACGTTTTAACTCTCCTAATGCCACCGGCAGGCAAGGACAGTCCGGTAGACAATTTCTAATTCACCACACCATATACTGATAAAGATCCAGAGAACTCACTTGCTATAAATAAAAAAACCCTGTATTATCTTTTGTCCCTTATGCAAGATATGACATTTATTTTCCTAGATATTTCTTAATATGTGAATCTGTAATCTGAGACATGGATTTTCAGTTTTTGCAACCATACTGTTAGCCAGTAATATCTATGATACTATTTGTGTCAAGTATTAAACGTATTTATGTACTATTGACTGATCATGAAAATTTGTAGCACTACGTACAAATCTAAGTATAACACTTTATGCTTTTTAGAGTTAATTCTTCTTTGTATTTATTTAATTCTGTGGAAAACTTGCATGGCGGGAAGGTAATAGAACTAAGTAAGACTAGAATGAGGACAACTTTACAATGTAGTTTGAGGAAAAAAAGGAAGTATAGTGGCATGTACTCAGTTGTCTTTATTTCTCTGAATTTACTCTTAAACTGTTATGTCATTGTATAGAAATACTTGTCAGCTGAGAGTGGAAATTACTTTTGTTTGTTTGTTTTGCATTTGGTTATATTTTACATAAGAATAAAGAAGCTGCAACCAACATTTGGTCCATAATCAGTGTACCAGAGTAAAATTCAGCTCTGTCTTTCAGTTGTAAAGCTTGTGCCAGAAACGTGACATAGTCACACATTTCAACAACTAATAAGCATTTTTGGCTCTGAACAATTTTACGTTTAGGTTTCTGGCAAAAAGAATTCTGACTTACACCTTTCAGAGACATTACACCCTCAGAAAATACTACTTTCTGTGAAAATTAGTATCCACAAACTGACCATATACATTGCCATTTCTGTTACCATTCTTCACACTAGGGATGAAACGTTACCAAAACATGTATATCTTTAAAAACGATGCAGTTGATGAGGTGTGTGCTATATATAAACATTCTAGTTTTAGTTGATAGTTGGGGTTTCTTACATCTTGATTTTGACTTTTCCTCCCTCTTTCATATTTAACATGAATCAAAATAAACTTTAATCTGAATGGTGATATTTGGCAATAGCCTGGCAGTTGAATGAACCATTCGACATTCCAGCACCAGTGCAAGTTTGTAGGTAAATTCTTTAGTAGCAGTGATCATACACATCTTACAGTCCCAAATAATTTGTATAGATGTCGTCTCAGTTTCTTTACATTTACTCTTGAATGCTACCAATAAGAATTTTGTCCTTAGTACTGCTTTGCTGCTCTATTGGACAAGAAAAGCTCTAATAACACAAGAGCAATTCCATAACTCTGTATAATTAGCACCTATTTGACACCATCTTACAGAAGCAGTAAGACAGAGGAAGCACTAAAATTGTATTACAGGATAGTGCAGCCTTGACCTGTTAAAAATACAGCTGTGACAATAATTTTGTTAGTTTTAGGATCTAGGAAGTAATGTACTGAGTCGAGAAGAGAAACAAACTGATAAGAAGTTTGAGCAATGAGAAATGAAGGAAGAGGAAAGAAGACACGGAGATTTTATTTCGCTGTAAATAGAACCTTCTGTTAATTCCATTTTAGTTGTGGAACCTAAAGAAAAACCAACTTAGTTGTGTAAATTTTACAAGACTTCAGATCTTCAGCATTAAATGCAAGAAAGAGAATGAAATATTGACCAGATAAAACATTATTGAGAAAATATTAAATAATGAGCTACTGAGTAGACTAAGAAACACTGTCAAGTTAAAATTTCAGTAATTAGTTCTAGCACCTTGGATAGCTAAATGAGCATTTTCTTATGTAAGTAGGTAAATTGTCATAACTGTAAGAGATTCTGGTGCCTTCCTGTTTATGAACTACTGTTTTATTTAATTAAAAAAAAACTCTTCTATTTTGTTCTTAGATTAACTGAGCTTGTGCCTTTAAATACATTTGTGTCTTTGGAAAAGCTGGATATCAAAAATAATTGCTTGTCAGGTGAGTTGTATAAAAACACCATAAAGCACCATCTAAACAAGAACTGAATAATTAAATTATAAACTGATTTGAATGAGACTGTTCCCATGTATTTATAAGAGACATTTATACAAAAAAATATATAAATATTTTCCAAACAGGAGTGTTATAGATATTAATTATAACGATACTGGATAGGTAGCAGTATTGCTTGTAGGACTTCATGATATTGGTACATTTTACTTTCATGTAAGATTTTATAAGAAATAATATAGTTCTGCATTCAAATTTATATCTAGTTTTCTTTCCTACTATAACATAGATCTTGAAGATGTCCTTACATGGTTAAGTGGCTGTCATAAACTGAAGGAGTTGTCATTCAGTGGAAATCCTTTTCTTCAAGAAAGGAACTGGAGGTAAGAAAACTAATTATTTGATAAATCAAAAAAATCAAAATCAGGAGAAAAATTGGTGTACGAATATTAGTTAAATAGTAGAAATACTACCACACATTGTGAACAGTCTTGCTACTGTAACAGGTTTTACATCAGCTAGAGAAGTAATTCCTGTAATACTGGCTAGAGAAGTGGTAGTGTTTATTAGAACAAGAAAAAGAATGAATGGTTGATTTTTCCTTAGTAGTTGAGGCTTAGCCTTTTTTCTGGTTCTTAGAATTCTTTATCTTTACATCAAAAATCAGTAGCTCTAATAATTATGAATTAAAGAGATGTAAGAGTAATGCTGTCCTTTGCCCTTCAGTGACGTATAATACTGAAAAATCAAAGAGCTGGTCCTATAAACTTTAATGTCTATATAGAAAAAACAGATAGAAAAGGGGTAGAAAAGAAACTTGACATATGAAATGATATGCAGTTACCAGAATCCCTGAAATGAGAAGTTATGGTAGGATTGTTAACCAATAGGATGGTTAAACATAGGAAAAAAATGGTACATGGATAGATTTTAGTATATTTTTATGTATACTGGACACAGTACTCAAGGTGTGGGCTCACCAGTGCCAAGTACAGGGAGAGGATCATTGCCTTAGTCCTGCTGGCCACACTGTTTCTGATACAAGCCAGGATACCCTTGGCCACCTGGGCACACTGCTGGCTCAAGTTTAGCCAGCTGTCAACCATCAACCTCAGGTCTTTTTCCACTGAGCAGCTTTCCAGGCACTCTGCTCCCAGCCTGTAGCTCTTCATGGGATTGTTGTGACCCAAGTGCAGAACCTGACACTTAGCCTTATTGAACCTCATACTATTGACCTCAGACCATTGATCCAGCCTGTCCAGATCCCTTTGCAGAGCTTTCCTACCCTCCAGCAGATCAACACTCCTTGTTGATCTTACTGAGATGCTTTCAACCTCCTTCTCTGGATCATCATAAAGATATTAAACAGGACTGCCCCCACTACTGAGCCTTGGGAAAGCCCACTAGTGACTGACTGCCAACTGGATGTAGCACTATTCACCTGTTGATGTCTCCTCATTTCTTAAGAATTCTGTGATCTGAAACCCCATTCATGCACCAGTGCCATGAGGACTTCAAGCTGTCTGAGAAAATTGCTCTGAGAAAATTGCTCAGCAAAAGCACAGAAGTGTTTTTTTAATTTACCTTGTTCTTTCATCTTCCTTCGAATTAATACTTTATTGTCTACAGGCCTTCAAGAGCAGAATACAAGTTGGAAATGAAATTTTAGATTTTTAGGTGATGTTGTGTGTTGTTGTGTGTATTGAAATGGTAGAATGTCTATTAGTGACACTCTTACTATAATCCCATTAAATGTAAGAAGATGCATTTAATCAGTAAGAATTTAAATCATTACCAATTCTTTCAGCTAAGGAAATCAAGTATTTACCTACAAAAGCGTTAACAAAATAAAATGTCTGAGGAAATGAAATTAGACACAACAGTTGGGCTTTCATTTTGGAGGTAATTAAAACATGACAGATTTTCTTATTAGAAAAATATGATTTTTCCTAGTAATTTTGAAGAATCATTAAACTTGTTACTTGTATAATTTCAGGTCAGTTAAAGGTAAGCATTTACACTGCAATGTTGCACAAAAATCTGTTTAGATAAATTCTGTTCACATTTGCTCTATTAGATTGCCTAATGTAATGACAACAAAGTTTGTCATATGTGTTTGTGTTTTGGAGTGTGCATTGTACTAAGAGAAAAAAAGGAATGTGAAACCACTGTTACGTCTTCCATTTGAAGATTTTTGTACAAATTTATGATTAGTATTCCAGTAGAAAAAAAAACTTTTTGAAACTTTTAGTTGGGAATGTTTGAGTAGTTTAAAAGATACCTGTATAAGTATATTCTTGATTGGTTTGTTTGTTTTTTAATGAAGAGAGTTATTTGCACTCCCATGGTTCCTGCAAGTAACTTCATTAATAAAATTCCGTGACTGTGACAATATTTTAAATTCCCATTTGCATTGTTTTAATTCCCACTGTTTTAAAGAACTAACTCTTATTTCACTTGTAACCTGGAGGGAAAAGCTTTCTGAATTTCAATTTAACTTTAAGAACTGACACTTTAGATTGCTTAACCCAGTAGAGCTTTTATGATTAGACAAGAGATTCATTTGTCTAAAGGATTTAAAGTATGGAATACTATAAAATATGGATTTGCTGAATACAGCATTGACTGTAACTTCAGGCAATATGTTCTAGTGAACTTTACATAACCCCTTGATACCAACAAAGGAATTAGTTGTAAAATTTCCCAATCAGTTTTGTACTTTCATGTCCAGCCAGTGATAACACCAACAAAAGTGAAGTAGTAAGAAATTTCTTTTTAAAAATTAAACCCTGGGATCAGTCTGAGCACTCCTAGGGGAATATGTTTCAATGCTGTAATGATTAATAGAACCTCTTAACTGACAGAATATTCACCAGGAAGTTTTCACTAAATGAAATGTTTACTCAGCCCTTCACCAGGAAAAACCCAGCTGGAAAAACTAGTGATGAGATCCCATAGCTCTAAGACACGATATTTCCAGCACTGATCAACTTTGATATGGCACTTTTTTTGGTGTATCACTATTCAAAATCAATTTTGGTAATTTATATATTCAGGAACTATTGATCTAAACCCATCATTTTATTCCAAATATACTTCAGTCAGTCTTAGCTTTCATTAATGGGCAGTAGTGAAGGACAGTTTTCTATTTGCAAAAAAACTATTCTATTCTATTGAGTTATTTGGAATATTATAACTCAGCCATAGAAACTTTCTCTGATTTTAAACTTAGTGTATGTTGTCTGAGCTGAGTAGTAGTCCTTTACCTTCACAGGGAATACTCAGGGAGTTTTAAAATTTTGAAAAAAGTTTTTTAATAGTAGGAGGATTTGCAACCTGCAATAAGTATTCTTTCAAGAGTTCTTAAGCGTTACTTAAGATTGACTTAATGAAAATATTAAGTGATGATGTATTGATTTAAATAATATTGCAGTCTTCAAACTTTGAACAAATTTGGTCTTGTACAAGAAATATGAGAAACAAGGTTGCAGTACTAGATTACATTTCACAACAACCCAAACAAGATTGCATTGACAATACTTTTTTTTTTTTTTTTTTTGGTGGGTAAGTTTCTCCTACATATTTTTTCTTACATCAGTGGCCCCAGCTGTCCTTTTTATAGCAAGGAAGTGTCATCTCTACTCTCATTCCTTTCACTGATTCAAATTCAATATTTCAAAAGTGGATTTTTTTTCCTGTCAGTCATACTGAATATCATGTCACTAGTTGTGCTATATGCAAATGGTAAAGGGATTAGAATTGACAAGCTTTAATATTTTGTGTAGTTTTAAATTTTAAACATTTCAGTGTGTCAACAAAATCAGTACGGTGTCTTAATCCTGTGACTTAGTTTGCTGTGTTGCCCACTAATCAAACCAATTACAGGTACCTATGCACAAATGTGTCAAATTTTCCTGTTATGGTTTGTGTAGGTAAAATTCTTGTTCTAGTGAATTGAGAATGTTGCCATTGACTTTCCTGGTGTCAGTATTTCAGCAGTACCCTTTATACCAACAAAGTATTAAGAGGTCTTGCTATGTTCTGTGTTTTATTCTGAGTTCTGTTGTTTATTAAGTATAAAATTTTAGTTAGTATGTTAACATATGAAATAAGGAAAAACATGTAAATACTTGGAGAACTAACTTCACATTCTGTCTTGTTATCTGATCATATCAATAAAATGGCTGTTTTAGCATAAGGATTTTTTGTATAACTAATTATGATTTTTTTTTCTAAGATCTTTCTTTTTTAAGGTTCTTCCTAGTTTACAGTCCCTTGATGGTGAAATCTTGAACTATCATACTTTACCAACAACTGAAAGAATCAAAGAATCAGAATTAAGAACTTTTCTGGAACTTTGTCAACTTCAAATTGAAGAAAATATTCAACTGAAAAAAAAGGCTGCTGAATTGGAGTATGTATTAATGTGAATATAAATTGCATTCAGAGATATGTTTTCATGTACTGCTAGTGAAGTTGTTGATGTCTTATGAATTTTAATTAGGGTTTTTTTTTACCTGGAAATGTGTCATGAAAAGGAAGAGATGAGAATCATTTACTGCAGTCCAAAGTCTGTTTTAGACAGATGTTAAGATATGTGGGCCATGAGTTTTGTTTCTTTAAATTTGAGGAAACAGGTTGTTCAAAACTTGCATTTAGTAGTAGCTGAATGAATTTGTACACACAACACAACACAGAGCTGTGCAGGATTACTAACTTAAATCCTGAAAGTTGTATAATTATATTAACATGATTTCCAGCTTTAATTTAATCAAATGTAGTTTGGCTATTACTGCAATATGCTCTATTTTTCTTTCTGCGTTTGTTTTCCATGTGTATATTACTCACATTCTAAATAATTGCAGAAAATTTGACCTCTTTTTTCTTGATTTTGCCATACTAATCACCTTTATTACCATTGTTAGTTGTCCAGTGACTTCAGCTTAGACCATGCAAGTGGTAATTTATCACTTATACATGCTATCTTTTAATTGTTTTGTAATATCTAAATAGGTCAAACTTCTCATGTTTCTGCACTTGGTAATATTGCCTATTTTTTTCTTTCATAGTCGTTCTTCATTTCCTATCAGGTTCACAATATCCCTATGGTCCTTTTACTATCCAACTTTTCTTTTAATGTTTGGAAAACTAGTTTTATTCATTCTGCCAGACACTGAACATTATCCTAGATCAGGTGAAGCATGTGATGTTTGACAGTGTTTTAGTCTGAACTTTGAATATTCTGTTGGTTCAGAAAAAGTACCCACATTTTTTTCAGAACATGGTTGTTTTGTATTTGCATGTAAGCCTGTATATCCATGGTACCTTGTTACTACCTAACAGTTTATTACTTTGGTGCATTATTGGCTTTTACTAAGCTGCAATAAAATCTTCATAGCTCAGAACCAGACTGATTTGAAACAAGGTTTGGATTAAGAATTGGATTGAAATTCATTTGGGAGAAATTACATAGTGCAGTTTTGTATAACAGATGTAATGTGTAGATGGCTCCTAAAAAACTCATTTATTTCTCCATTAAACTTCCAAGATATGTCTTCTCCACTTGTGTAATTTTTGGCTTCTGGTTTGCACGTGGAAGCTGATACTTCCTAATCTATTTACCATCTTGAAATGGTGTTCCTTCCTTTATTTTTCTTAAAAGGAGAAAAGAAGGGGAAAAAAAAAAAAAAAAGCACTCCTCCTCCTTTATGGTTGAGAAAATTTTTCTGTATCTGATATTTAGGACCAGTTTCATCATTATCTCTTGCAGAAAAAAGTGCTGATCTATAATTAGGATATGACTTGTGAGAGAACTGTAGCAGAGTCTGAGGACCTAACTTTCACATACATTTCTGTAAGATGTAAAAAAGTAGGAGAGAAATATGATATTCATAAAATTTAATATTTTTTTAATCCATGGCCTGCATGAATGGACATAAGTAAGAAAGATACATAAGAAACTTGTTGGGTAGTTGGACTCAGACCAACCATTAACTATGAATAGTTGATTACTAGGCTTATGCTACTTTCTGAGTGCTGACTTGTACATCTAATATCTTTTATCAAAGACTGGGAGCAGGAGGTGGAGTGCACACTTACCATACTCGCAGATCACAAAAAATTTGGAGGCAATTGTTTACATGCCTGAGGGGAGAGCTACCAGTCAGAGGGACATACTGGGGAGACAAGGCAAGCTGGGGAGACAGGTCAATAGGAGCCTTGTAAATTCAACAAGGACAAGTGCAAAGTTCTTCACCTAGGAAGGAGGTAAAGAAAGGAGGCGTTCTACCCACTCCCAGGCTACTTGCTGAATGGAAGAGAGAAGGCCTTGACTTTGTCCAGGCACTGTTCAGCAAAACATTAGTCTTTTATCAGTTTAGTTCCAGTCACAAATCTAAAACACAGCACCATACGGATACCTGTAACGAGAATTAATTTATCCCAGCCAGAGTCAGTACAGTTGGACATAAGGAAAAATCTTTTCACTCTAGGGACAGTGTTGAATTGCAACAGGTTGCCGAGAGAGGTTGTGTAGTCTTGTTCTTGGAGATTTTCAAGAACTGACTGGATAAAGCCCTGGGGAGCCTGGCCTGATCTGAGAGCTAACCTAACCTTGAAGCAGAAGGTTGGACTAGAGACCTCCTGAGTTCCTTCAATTGAGAGTTTTTCTGTGATTCTGTGTAAGTTTTGTTTAAAGAGCCTGCAGATGTTTGAGAAGAACAGTAGTGGAAAGAGGATATTATGTAAACATCTCTTCTTTCCGCAATATATGGTTTGGGTGGAGAAGGGGAAGGCAAGGGTGCATGGAGGAGGGAGGTTTGTGGGGTTTTTGAAATTTTGAGAATTCATTCACAATCTTTTGAATCGGTAACCTTGACATGGTTGAAACATCTTGTATCAAATTGAGTCTTAAAATTAATTTCTCATGTGTTAAAGCCCTTTTATTTTGACTAAAGTAAAATTTATGGATGACTTGAAAACCATTGAAAACTGCAATTCATAAAAGGAACTCTAAACAACTTGTTTGTATATAAGCCTTAACAGCATAGCTATTATATGTACATATTGCAATACTTTGACTGAATTAATGTGACATTGCTAAAGAACAGGCCAACAATAGAGCAAACTTCTGTCTGTTTCACATCTTGCTAAGTTATAAGCCTCTGTAGGTGCGACCTCAAGTATGTAAGCTGCCAAAAGTAATCAGTGCTTGCTTCCCTAATTCATGTTTCATACACAACTGCTGCCCAGTTAAATTCTCTGTGCTGTTTCTGAAACTTCTCTGTTGTTGCCATTCTTAAAAATAAAACTTACTTTAAAATTTAATTTCTCTATTCTAATAAATAGTTTTTGTCACACTTCCTTTATATGACTTGTAATGAGTAATCATATAAAAAAATATAACACTGTGGTTGCAGCAATTTGCTTTCAGTCATGAGATATGCAGATGCCTGGCTAATAGGTCTTGAACTTTATAAATCCTATATGTATAATACAGTGAAAATGACAAGAATTTCATAAATGGTAGTGCAAGGAGAGAGTATGTAAACAGTGACCTCTTTCATGTGTTTTTAAGGGACTTTAGTAGGCTGCAGTTGAACATCAGTAATGATGCTTATAGAAGCTTCACTGAAGACAAATTAGATTTTACCACACTATAACACAAGCTCACATAAATTGTACTATTTGACTATTTCATGTAGCATAATTATGAAAATCACAGTAGAGCCACAAAGGGCAAAACATGATATCAGACAAAGTTTTAACTAGCACACAAACTAGTACACAAAGAGGTTGAATATTGTTTATGATTTACCTGATAGGGCCAAGAGAAACTGCCGTTCCTGATTAGAACTGGCTTGTTTCTCCATTGTCTCTTTTGCCTCCAAGAGATTTGTTCTGCTGACTTTTCAAGACTTACGGTTTCTTTCTGAGAAAATTGTGCTCTTTGAATAACCTGGCAGTCATTGCAGATGTGATTGCAGTAAGAAATTATATACAAAATGTGCCAAATCTATATGCAAGCTTCTGCCACCACCTTAAACTTCCTAAGTAGCAACATTTTGGCTGATTTAAACTCCCCTGAAAGGCCTTTAAGGATGAATAACTTTGTCCTTTTCCATGTCTTTTAAGTTAGCCTGTGCATGGATCCTTTTGCTTCCTAGGTGCTGCCACTGGGGATTTACTCCTCTCCACCTCTACTCCCTTCCCAAACACTGCATGTGAAACTGAGCAGAGTTTGGACTAAATTAACCAAGACAGTGATGGATACTCTTGGTGGTTTGGTGTGGGGACTGAAATTGTAACAGTTGTTAAGAAATGCCTCATTTCAATTTCCAAATAGATTAAAAATCTCATTCTAATGGCTTTATCTTTCCTCAAAGTCCCTGGAAAGTGCTAGGACAAACAGGGAGGTATCTGTTTGGTAAAAAAGCTACAGGTGGCTTTCTGCTGTTAACATTTGTTTGTGAAAATAATATCTTGGTCTTTAGGTAGTATCAGGACCACTATTATAGCATATGTGTACATTGCTACAAAAGAGCTAGCCTTTCCTGTTCTGGTTTATTCCTCTTTTCTCCCACAGCAAAAGAAGTTCATCCTTTGTGGTTATGCTAAAATTTGCATATGGTATAAATTACTTTCACTTGTTAGAATCAAAATAAAGCTGTGGGAAGCCAGTCAGCCATTTAACATGAGGGAATGCGCTAGTCAAAGCTGGAAGCCATAGAAATTTTGCTGTAGCAAGACCACCATGTTCATCTACATTTCCTTACATACTAAACAGCCAGACACTATGGATACTGGTACTTCCATGAGATAATCCCATTTCTTGTTTTGTCTAGGTGCCAATTTATGCTTAAAAACTTGGTTGTATCATAACCAAGAAGCAATTCCAGAAGATTTAGAGTGATCAGACCTCTTGACCGATAGTATGGAAAAAGGTCTGAAAGGCAAACATTAACATTAACTGAAAAAGAAATATTGTGGTATCAAAAGTCTTAATGCTGTCATATTTCTTACTTTGTCTTCTCTCTTTCCTTGTGTATGGGGTTTTTTTCCTATTAAATAAGTAAACCAGTCCTGCATATTTTCCATTACAGCAGCTTCCTTTCTCTGGTTTGAATAAGCAATCTTTAGGAGCAGGTCTCAGATATCAAGAATACAGGCCCATTGAGACACTGAGAAAGTTGCAGTGCATTGAGAGGATACGTGAAATCCCTGTTTTCCTAAAGGACGTAGCAGCTGACTGCTGCCTAGTACTCAGGCTACATGATAATATTCATTATATGTGCTTTGGAGCTTCACCTTTGCAGGGAAACCCCAAACACAGCTACCAAGCCGCTTCATTACTTATAATTCTCTGAAATGTCACTTCAGCTTCCTTTGTAGTTTCTTGAAACTTAAGGTGATCTGACTGCCTAAAAGGAAAGCCACTGATACATAGGGCAGCCTTAAAATCCTACAAAATCAATGTAGAGTTGCAAATTGCCAGGGATGTATCAGCTGGGAGAGGGTGCACACCCACAGCGACAAGACTGTACTTTTCAGCCACTGCTTGGGAAAACTGCCGAAAAAGCAGCCTCTGTGAAAAAAAATAACACGTGTTCCCTGGTGACCACAAAATTACTCCCTGCCTGAATTTTCAATTTCCATCAGCTTCCCTTCCCATTTCTGCTTAACATATTCGTAGCCACTGGAAGGGTGAAACAGGTGCTTGAAACGTGTCATAGGAGAGGATGCACAGTATCCTACTCGATTCACTGTTATGGTGGTTTGGTTTTCTTTTTTTCTGTTGTGTTTTTGGGTTTTTTTTGAGAATGAACATGGATACTCAGGTTATGCTTTTCATGCAAAAGTTTATTTTGCCCAATATATTAAACATTCTGGTGTTTTCTGCAACAGTTTTATTTTCAAATAAACAACAAAAGAAAGCAAAGAAAAGGGGGGGAAAAAGGTGGACATGGACTTTTTTTAAAAAAAAATTTTCTTTTTTTTTCTTTCTCACCGTAGTGGTTTTTGTACAAATTTGGTAACAATCTTGTACCAAACTTATCTTTTTAAATACTTCAACTAATTAAAAGTATTTAACTAAAATATTTAACTAATGCTTTAAGTATTTTCTGTTGAAGAAATTGCTATTCTTAGTATATAGTATGTTAGATCCTTAAACAAATATAAGCGTTGGTTTAAATATTTTAGGAATTGTCATATTTACAGAACTAACAGGAATAGGAGTAATGCTGTGTAGTGGACAATGAAATGTATAACTATTGCACAATGAGTTGTGTGCTTAAGCTATATGGATTTGGCTTCCAATTTAGTCATTCAGACTTTGTCCTTTAGCACTGAAGTTTCACTAAGAGTAGGATCGTGTAAGATCTGATTCACTATGTTCTTAAAAATCTAAAATGCTTTTAGTTAAACTTCATTAGAGGATATAATGGTGAAAAGTCTTTTCACAGTAAAACCTTATAAAAGCTTCATCTTTCAAGAATGATGAACAAGAAGGAAAATTCTGTTATTCTGACTATTATTTTAGGATCTGATTTTTTCAGACGCACAAGAAAATTGATTGTATTTCTACTTTTTCTCTTGGATTGCTGTCCTAGAATTAACTTTGTGCTCCTTGTAAATTAACACCACATTACAGATCTTTGTATCTATCTATGCTGTTGAAGAAAAATGTTTTCATGATTCCAGAAGTACCTGCTACATAATACGATGGACACTGTCCAAAAGACAGACTGTCATCTGAATCTGTAACAATATAGTTCATATTTACTCTTACTCATTATTTACAGAGTGTAACACAAAGAAGTAATGAGAGCCAGACTTCATAGATTAGTCTTGCTTCAGTCTAGCACTTTCCCTTATATTGATAAATACATCTATAGTTAAAAGTTTCTGTTTTCCTAAATTCTTTCTAGGTATTGTGGTTGGTTGGTTTGAATACGAGTCTGGGTTTGGTTGGTTTCGTTCTTATCTAAATTTTAAAATTACTGTTATTTTTATATTAGCTTTCATAGTTCCCAGATAATAAGGGATTAATAAGGCAGTTATAGGATTTATAGCAAAATTGCCTCAAATCCTCTAAAATTTTTGGCTTCATATGCCTCTAACCACACAGAAAATTAATAGTGAAATGCATGGCCTAGTGCAACTTTTTTCTTGAAAAAGGCAAAGTAAAATAAGAAATCTATATGAATATATTTTAAATACGTCCCAAAGATGACAAATGCTATTAAGAATTATGAGTATTGAAAATGAGTTCTCAATCAGAATAATTGCTATTTCCTTAGGAATATGGAAACATGTAAGGATGTTTGAAAATACAAGGTATTTTAGAAAATAATAGAGGGAATATATATATATATATATTTAAAGCATTCTTACAGTCAGAAACACATGTAAAAACGCTTTTATCTTTTTTTCAGAATTACCTCTTCTATTGATTCTGTACAGGGACAATGCTGGTATTTTAATCAGTTGATGAAAATTAGTGTTAAACATCGATACGCACATGAGTATGGTGAACTATATGTTACTGACAGAGATGGACCAGAAGCACTTCAAAATCATTTAGAGCAAACATCCACTGGCTGCCTACAGGAAAATAACCTCTTTATCATGGGTGCGACGGAAAATAAACAGGTCTTCTTGGATCCTTCCAAAAGATGGATTACTACTGGCGATACTCAGGCCACATTCATTAACTCCTCCATACCTGTGCACCAAAAGGAAAATAAAGAAGATCAGATAGTGAAGCAGAAGAGTACTGAATCTTGTATTAATTACAGTGGGGAGAGCAAAGGCAACAATAACATGTCAGCCCAACGCACATCACAACAATCAGTGATAGGAGCAAGTACTATGGGAAGAAATCTTCAGCATTTTGAGAATCATACGGAAAGGTAAGACAGATGTCAAATTGCTTTCAAATAGATAATTCAGATAGACAACAGGCAATAGGAGTGAGGATTTCTTATTTAAAACAGAGGCACAGAACTTGTAAGATAATATTTTTTAGCTTATTAGACAATAAAGAGTTATATTGAGGTGTTGCACACTAGGCTTCCATATTAACAAGAATCCTTTGTGGTATTCTTTCAGTTGATATATTAGAATATAGATATGTAAGCACTTCAAATAATTTAAAAATACTGTATAATAAGAGAATTAGAAAACTTTCTCTTGGTCTACCTTATTTTCCTTCTTTTTTTTTGCAATAATGTTGTAACACCAGTTTAAACACACCTGCAGTGTTAGGAAGGCAAATGCTGATGTTCTCCAGAAACTCTGGGGCAGTTTGACTACAAACTAGCATAAAGGTTTTTTGCTATACTGTTCATTAGCCATTCAAGATTCATCTCTGTAGACTTTACAGTCAGTACCATTTAGAAAGCAAGAGGTAAAAGTTCCTTAAATCAACCATCCTACTCCCTTGACCTCAGGCCTGTCTCCTGCTGTTGTGATGACTGAAGAGCTAGCAGCCTACCCTCCTTTTGGTACTCCTCCAACATGCCTCAACCTGCTTCTTAAAAGTAGAGACAGGGGTGAGAGGCCAGTTCAATTTGTTCTGTGCCCCTAAATTTTCTCCCACACGAGACACACTGGTTTATTACCTCTATGGAATGTGTTTACTGCTGATTTGTATGGGTTTGGATGTAGAGTCAGGGGAAACAGAAGCTGATTTTTTTTGCCCTAAAGGGTCAAGGCTTCAGTTACAATTTCATAAGAATTCAGTTTCAAAAATAGATGCCTTGAGAACACCATGAAAAGCAGTAATGGTGAGTGTGCTTCTTTGTTCTGTTTAGACTTATGGTAAATAGGCAATAGTGCTTAGTGGATGCTTAAGACACTAATAATTTGTCATAAAATTTATTATTCAGGAAGACCATGCAATTCATCATTACCTCTCAGCAAGTTGAAAGCAAGAGTACAGTAGTCTACTGCGGAAGATGAATGCTTAAAAAGATTATTTTTGAAATAGTTAATTTAGATTTTAGTTAATGCTTTAAATGCATTCTGTAAGTGTCTTTTTGGAAATGTCTCTTCAAAACAGAATGCAAACCACTTTTTTTGTTTGTTTTTCTAATTCAGTTAATGCTTCCTACAGATGCAAAGCTTATAAAGAATTCATTTTTTGAGGTTGATAAACTTAATAAACACATTTAAGGGAAAAAAAATATGTGTTGACCTCTGAAGTGTGCTGCTTTTTTTTTTCTTTTCTGAATAGTACTCCTCTATTTAAATAGATGCACTCTACAAGGAAAGAAATTATATAAAGATTGGGGAAAATTTAGATGTCTTTTCTTAAACCCAATGTCCAATTGAAATGAGTATTTTGTGGAGAAAAGGCTTCTAAGATAGGAAAGATAGTAAAGTCATAATGCAGAGCTGACATTAAACTTTTTCTCCATCAATATAAATTGATTGAACATATATTTAGAAATCTCAATCACTGAACAAATTTAAGTAGTCTGTAATTAGTTCTTGTTAAAGAATGAGAAAACTAGAAAATTTACACGGATTACTAGTGGTCAGTAGTTCTTAGATTAAAGGGGAAAACCAGGAAAAAGATGAAATTGTACTTTCTCCATTTTTCCTGTCTGTTCCATTGGAAATATCTGTCTCATGCATTTTTCTATTTAGTGCTTGGCATTTACTTCTTTGGGGGTTTTTGTTGTTGTTTTGTTAATTTTTTTTATACAGGTGGTAGGAGTAAGTTGGCTCTTCCAAGAATTTATTTGGTCATTATTAAACCAGTTCTGCTCCTAATCCTTCCTTTGAGGATTCTTCCTCTACAGTGATTATAAGTGGAACAGAGCCCAGCAGAGATTAGTCTTTAGATAATTGGATTTCAGAAGTTATAGGATGTGACTGTTCTTCTGAACATATATGTCACATCTGGATTGTAATTTCTTGTTTAATGGCAGAACTTTTCATTTGTCTCAAAGCACAGTGCTATGTTTTATGGTTGTAGTTTGGCAGATATGATAATCTGGTTGTGCTGGCTGTGTCATTCATAAAGGCATTTATTTTTCTGTGAGACTGCATATGGCAGCATCAGTGATCCAGGCTTTTTGGCGGCAGTACCATGCTCGAAATAAAAATAACTGCAACAAAACAGAGAATCAGCAGTATATAGAAGCATTGAGACAGAAGCATGAAGCTGCCACAGTAATCCAGGTTGGTTTATGGTATTCTCTTTACTTATTTTACAAATTAAATAAGAAAAAAATCTTACTCATTTTGTGTACTTGTTATATTCTATTTTTGCTTATGAACTTATAAATAATTTCATAATTAAACCTTTTTGGTTTATTCAACATAATCTTGATGTTTCTAAAAGAGAGACTTCTTTACAAAAAGTTTTACAGAAACATGAAAATATTTTCCCTATTTCCGCCAAATATTTCCCTGACTTATTTTTGCTTGATTTACCTCTAATATTATGCCTAAGAGATATTGTACCCGTGTTCTTACTGAGGTATGTCTATGCTATTAAAGTGACAGATGCTGCGTGAGTAGTACATCTTGTCTGATATCTGCATGACTAACTACTCTTCCTGTCTCTTCTATCCTACCTATCCATCTCTTTCCTTCTCTCCCCATCTCTGAAACCCAGGATTGCTTCATCCATATTGCCCTTTGGAACAGACCATGGCCTAGGCCATCTCCTGTGGTAGATACTGAGCTGATAACAGTTACATAGCATGAATTACTATTTGCAAGAGTTGAAGTCCGTGCCTTGATTCTGTCTAATTTGCTTACCAGACTTTTTTTTTTTACGTTTTGAAAGAAATTTACCCTGTGTTGGTTTTTTCTTTTTTTTTTTTTTTTTTTTTTTTTTTTTTTTTTTTTTTTTTTTTTTTTTTTTTTTTTTTTTTTTTTTTTTTTTTTTTTTTTTTTTTTTTTTTTTTTTTTTTTTTTTTTTTTTTTTTTTTTTTTTTTTTTTTTCATTTCTAGTTAACTTAGAGACATTCTACATTATAAGTCTTATATAAAAATGTCAGAAGTGACAGTGATTTAGGAGCAAAAATTTGTTACTGGAGTATATCGTGTAGCTCACATATTAACAATTGATCTCAATATTTAATCCTTTTTTGAACTTATATATTTGACCTCTACTACATATTAAATTGATGAGTTTCACACGTTTATATAGTGATTAATATGTTTTTTCATGTTTCAAAAATGATGATTTCCAAAGTGAGTATGAAAATAAAGTCATAATTCATCTTCTTAGCATGTTACAGATTTTTAGATCTCTCTTATATCCATCCTTATATACACTTTTGCGAAATAATATTTTAGTCTGTTTAGTCTCTTTTTGAATTACTCTGTAATTCTTTCTGTCTTTTTTTTAAAGAAACAACTAGAACTGAATTCCATAGGCAGATATATAATGAATTCGTACAGTAAGACAGTTTTCCTCTTGTTTCTTGGAAACTACAAACATGCAATTTTTCTCTCATCATGACTGAGCACTGACCTGATACTTTCATAGATCTGTGTTTATCGTTTTGTAGATCTACAGTTTATCCTTCTGCTTATATCATTAGGATTGCTTTTCTCCTTTGCATTTGTAAAAAATAATTGTGTGTGTTAAATATATTTGTCATTTGATCACTCAGTAATATTAGGGTATTTTATCAGGATGCTTATGAAGATCTGTGGGAAAATAACAACAATGAAATTATAAGAAAGCAGTTCTAATACATTTAATATTTTTATAATAAACAGGAATTATGTGTGTAAAATGGTAAAATTTTCATTAATTTATGTGGTTAGGCAGTCATTTTCTAAAAAGTAATAAGCTAAATGTTAAACCAGAATATGAGATTTACTCTTCCTATTTTAGTGCCTTCATTGCAAAGCCATTAAAGGTGGACAAGACCACTTCTTTCATAACAGTGAAAAATTTTACAGGGTGTTTTAAATGTGTAGGGCATTTTGAATTCTAGCGATGTCAAACACCAATTTTGGAGAAAATTGCTGTCTTGGATTTAGTTTTTTTAACTCCATCCATGTAATTGTGATCTCTGAAGTGTTTTCCTAGATCTGATTCTGTGCTTGGCATGTGTTCCTAACAACCTTCCTCGTTTTCTATCACTTTAATTCCTAATGTATTCCTTTTTCTTTGAGATGATTATGCTTACTGGTAATATTTTTTTTTAAATAAAGATCTTAGACAGTTAAGAAAGAGTAACTGACCTAGGTCAATTGCATGAGATGTCTCCAAGAATTGCTACTTGTAAACTGTAAGACATTTAGTACAACTGTATTTTTATTCTCAGTAATTTGAAAGTTGACACTCAGGTTTTTCTTATGTAGCGTTTTCTTTCAGTTTATAATAGTCCCTGAAGGAATTGTCAAATAATTAATTAGTTGACCTAGGTTTGTAGTTGAGGGAGTTGCAGGATTCCTTTCTGCTTACTTGAGGAGAGCCTCTTGAGTACTCTAAGCTTTAGACATATGCTGGCATTTAATTTGTCTTGTAGTTTTAAATGTCACATAAAGTTCAAAAAACAGATCATTGAGCTATTAAACAAAGGCCCAAGATGTTTTATCTTCCTAATGGGATAACATAGAGAATCTGGATTTGGGTTTGATCTATGGCTTTGCATAACATGCTTTACATTTTTTGTTTAGGCATTTTGGAAGGGTTTTCTTTTGCGAAAGAAACTGGCCAGTGCTCTTGCAGCTGTTAAATGTGATGAAGTGGAGGATGAATATGAAGAAATAAATGTGGATGCCTTCACCTTATCTGAAGTAAGCACTGTCATTAGGATAAAATGTTCATTATTCCTCTTAAGCAATCATGTAGGTGTTGGGAATAAAAGAAATTGAAAGGACTACCAAAGCTAGAATTAAATGTTGGATGTCCAGAAGTAAAGAAGCATTTACACATATATAGCTGATTTAAATGTATTTGTCATGGATTAATTGATTCCTGTTCTTTGAGATGCTCTGATAGTTACTGTGCTATTCATGTCATAGAACCCCATATATTTCTACAGTTGAAGTGCAATCAAATGAGAATAAGGAAACAACTCATTTTGTTAAAAAATTTTTATGTTTTTAGTATTTTAGTAGCAGGTTTTAATGTCAACAATATTTTAGTGTGTATTTTGTTCATCTTCATGATAGAATGGAACAAAAATATAACTAAAAATATAGATAATATAGCTGAGATTCAGTGCTGTAGTATTCCAGTAAAAGGCACACATCCCCAAAACCAGAGATGAAACAGGCTTATCTCTTTTATCTTGTATGTCCTGTGCTAAAAAGATCACAGGGGTAATTACGAAAGTAAATTATGAATATAAGTACAGTTAAATCAGAAAAAAAAAAAACAAACACCACCCTTAGAAACTCTATAGTACACAAAATCCAGACATTATCACTAATAATTTTTGCAAGTTACATAGAGTTAATAATGTTTTTTTCAGTTTCAAAAGGACTGAAATTCGATAAGAAGTTTCCATTCTAAGAAATAAAAGCAGGCTCCGAAGGAATTTGAGTACTGTCACTTTCAAAACTGCATTTAGCTATACTTTAGTAAAAAATAAAAATGTCTACAGGATCAATATTGTCATTCAGTAAACAAGGAAAAGAAACTTTAAAGGAACTTTATCTTTTATAACCTCAAAAGGCAGTCTACATGGGAAGTTCTAGACCCAGTATGCACAGTAAATAGTAAGGCAGCTGTTGATGACTTACCTATATATTTGTCTGGAGCACTTCTTTGTCTAATTGTTCACATTCGTTGGCTGCCTTTTTTTTTTTTTAGTGCTTTCAGGTAAAGCAAAGAAAACTGACAGCAGTGTGGCCATTTGAGACCTAGAAGGATATGACTGAGATTTTTTTCGTGAACCCTTGTCTCTGAATGTGCTTATTCAGCTGCTATGTCTTTGCAAGAGCCATTTGTCAATATTCCACTGTAATTTTGCAAAGAAGATTGATGCAATAGCCCTACTACTGCTGTACTGGCAGGACTAGGTCCTGTTTATAATCATGTTTGTATTGACCATATTGAGTTATGAAACCAAAGATGTTGTTAATGCAGTGCAGTTTAAAGTTGATCAGTCTTTGATCATCTGAGTATCAGCCTTCTTTTGCGAACCCCTCTCCGTACAAAATAGCTGAACTTTGTATGAAATTGTTACCAATGACTTGATGACTTGGGGTAATTTTTTTTTTTTTCCCCTTTCAGCAACTATTTTAAGATACATTTTCGGAATTATTGCCTTATTTAAGAATATGGGAAATGGTTGAGGCAGGACTCCCAAGAATCATTTGGTAGACAGGAAATGTGTGTGTGTGTGTAAACATAGAGACCTGGCTTAAATTTTAGGATTTTTTTCATTTTAATTTGAAATATATATACAAAACAGTTTCATTAGTTGATGTTCTCTGATCCCTGGCTTCTTTCTAAAATAATAAAAAGCAGAACATTGAAGGTTTTATTACTTCACACAGGAAGGAAGTATCTGTTCATATATTAAAGAAGGAAAATATCCTGGTTTGAATTATTCAACCAGTAGGCCAGAGTCTTACACACTGTATTTCAGTTGAGCCATTCTTGTTTCACTCTGTTTGCCCCAAATAATCTTGTAATAGTTTTTTGTTTTGTTGGAGTTTTTTAATTGCTAAACTGAAAACTACATAGACAATTCTGTTCCGTCTGTCTGTCAGCAAGATAATCACGTTTGAGTGGGTGCTCATGAGGCCAGGGAAAAAAGGAAGGGGTGGAGAAGACAGAAAAAGAAAGCCCAGCTGATTTCAGAAAGATTTGTACTGTATCACCCTCTGGTGTTGCCACATGTTTTTTCATTTCTTTTTTTTTTTTTTCCCAAATTGTTGTTGAGTTTATTGGCTAAGAAATAAAACCTGAGTTTAGGGAGAAATTCTCAGGAAGTGTTTAGGATCAGATGATGACAGGTGAACCATGAACTGACATTTTAATTTGCACAGCATGCCCAAAGGCTGAACTAGGGACTGAGGTCAAATAAGTTACTCAAGCCCTTAGCTTCTTGTGTTGAAAAATATCATCTGTTTTCTACAGACCACTGTGTGTGATAAATTTACAATGTATGCATCTGTGAAGAGTATCCTTTGTTCAGTGAGTGAACATTTCAATGTTTAAGATTGATGACTGTAACTAGTATTACACCCTGTAATATTGGTAAATTTTTCTTTTTATTTTCTTTTTTTTCAAGTGTATATCTTGTCTGTGCTGAAGATTTTGATTGTGAGAAATGTGTGGCTTAACTGTAACAGGCATACACTTTGCTCTGATTGCCCAGATTAGCTAGTCAGTACTGAGTTGCCTATTTCATCTATGTTTAGCTGTTTTGTTCTTTGCAGTTGGGTAGTACCAGATCACATGGACTTTCTACTTCTACAGAAGCAAGTCACAGAAACTTGGAATAGTCAGTACTTCCTATTCCTTCCTTTCTGGCCTCAGTCTTTTACAGCATAGTGCTGAAGCAGAGCCAAATAATGACACATGATATCAGTGGCTATCTGGTGTGTCTCAAACAGCTCTGTAGGGAGGAGTACATATTGCTGGGCTAAGAGATCCAATGTGCTGGGGTGTGAAGGAAGAGAAATACATTTGGACACCATTTTGCACTGCAGATTTCACTGTTGTATAGGGTGAATGAAATGACAGAGAAGGCAGAAAAACCTTCCCTTATTGCAAACTGATATAAATGTATTAAATCTTGTCCAAAAGTTTTTTGAATAGTTCACCATTTTGTGTTTTGGTCATTGTTTGGGTTTTTCTTATTCTGTTACGTAGATTTCAGTCATAATGATTTTATTCAGTATTGCCTAACGTTCTGCAAAATGACTAGTCTGCAATCACCCATTTAAACTGTTTGCAAATATCACAGTGCAATAAATCATTTGGCAAAAGTCTTCCTTAAATAACTGTTTAATATCTTCATTATAAACAGTGTACTAGTGCTCAGTGGAAGGTGAGACTGTGAAACAGCGTGGGGAAAACCCTAGTCTTTGCCAAAGGTCTTCACTTTACTTCATTTATGCCTATTGAGAAATGGTATATTTTTAGTAGAAGTTTGACACCATATCTCATGAAAAATGGATTGCGTGTGATTGGGCTAGAGGAATTAGCTTTATCTTGCTCACAATAGCGTGAATAGTAATAGTTTCACCTGAAAAATTCCTGATACCTTCTTGTATTCATATGAACTCCCATACATTGTCAAAGACATTCAGAGGCAATTGATGACAGTTTTGTGTCTAGTTTACTGTGCAATTTCAAACAGTTTATCCCAGATTAGATGAAAGGTCTGGTCGACAGATGTCTCAGAAAGTATGAGCCTGGTATTTAGTGATATTTTCACATCTTTCATGTGGACTTGGGAGAATTCCAGCCTATATGCTCCAGAAGGCTGATTTTAAGGCAACCTTTCATCAGGAGTCCATGCATGTAGCAAACGATCTACAAGGCAGAGCTCACTTTTTACCTCTGGTGGAAAAATATGACAACACATTTGCTTGACACATATCTTACTTTCTGTACCATTTAAATATCAGCATTGTTGTTTTGCTGGTGTGAATATGTTGTGAGCCAAATGCAAAATGGCTGAACTTGCCAATGTGTCAGAAAGCTGAATAAATAGAATGAATATTTAGGCAGTTCTTTACCTTGAGCAGTGATCACTGAATAAATTACTGTTTTTCTACACTGAGTAAGCACATGGACACATCCTATTCTCATCAAGATAGATATCAGTATTGATGGTTACATGGCTCAGAAAGTAAGTATTTTTCAAACCTTCATTTTTTAATTTATTTTAAATCATTCTAATCATACTTTTTCAAAAAGAAAGTCACTTTGTAAGTTGCAACCAAGCTAAAAAGAAATCCATCACTCCTTTTTTCTTCAAAGGAATAACTTTGTTGCCCTGAGACCAAGCGTTGTTCTCCTTCTGAGCTTGATTATGTAGATTTTAAAAGTTCCAGTCTTCCTGACAGCTTTTGAAGTTATTGACCAGGAGTTTCCTTCACATTTTTTACTCATATCCATACTTGGACACATAGTCATTCCTAATTTTTTGCTTGCCTTCCACAACATCTATGTAGCATTTTTCTTTTTCTTTCTCTCTTTTTTTTTTTTTTTTAGGGGTGGGAAGAATGAAAACTATCTCATGTGTGCTAACTCTTAAAAAGTAAACAGCAATTTGAAAAACAATTTCCTTACATCTCCCATCTTTAGTATTCTTGTCACGTATCCAAACTAGAGCCATACAATGTGTTTTGTCTTCTTTTCTGACAATCCTTCATAATGTGGTTTGTCTCAGGCTTGTGATTGTGAGCTTGTGACAGTGATTGCTATTGCTAGTGCCAGGAAATAAGTGTAGCATATGGATTAGAAGGTCCGCAAAATGTTTGTTTCTTGTATCTTTACACTCTTATGTATGTCTAGCTCTTGTAATTGTTTATAAATGTCAGATCAGGATCCAGTTTTTCTGTATTGCATACTGCAAAGAGTATGATCCTTTTTTCATCAAATTACATATAAAGTTACAATGTTGAAGAGAAGCAAAATATTGTCTGATGCAAATTTCATTAGATACATCCCATTTTTTTAAAAAGGAGGGAAAAAAATCTCTCCTAACTAATATATTGGCCGATCAATCTTTTCACTATGAGTGTTTATAAATGATCTCTTGATATGTTCCTGTTTCTTCAGCTGCTGTGTTAGTGAATTGCATGCTATTCTCAGTCTGTGGCATCAG